TCCTGGGGCCGGCGTGGACTTCGCCCTGAACCTCCCCGGGAGGGCGTCACCCCCGCCCCACCCTGCGCTCAGCCCTCCCACCCCCAGGCCAGGCCCGGAGGTGATACAGAGCGCCCGGAGCCGTGGGAGGTTTGAGCTGGACGGTGCCCTTAGAAATCGCCAACATCCGTTCGTGGACAGGCTTTGATTTTCCTTTTTTCCCTTTGGTGTTTTGTCTTTGACTTGGGGTCTCACTCTGTCTCGACCTCCCGGGCTGTCGTGATCCTCCCGCCTCAGCCACAGGCACACCCCACGCCGCCCAGCTAGTGTTTTGATTTTGTTGTAGACATGAGGGTTCACTGTGTTGCCCAGGCTGGTGTCAAATTCCTGGGCTCAAGGGTTCCTCCTGTCTTGGCCTCCCAAAGTGTGTTAGCCACGGTGCCCCGCCTGTGTGTTTTTAACGTTTAGTTGCTCCTGAGAAGTTAGGAGACTTGGCCACACTGGGGCTGTTTCCATCATCACAGTTTTCACCAGGCAGAAGTACCGTACTTTCCTCGCGGTTTCGTCTCTGCCGTGCTGATGTGTGCCTCCCTGGGCAGGGCCAGAGGGTGCCCAGCCTTATGTTTTTTGGGCTGGGAGCTTTCGGAAGACTGCTGCTTTGACCAGGTCTCTATGGAAAGTCAGAAGAGGCCAACAAGTTTCTGTTTCCCTGCATGCAGGTAGAGAACATTCTCGCCCCCAGTGTAAGCATATGAGTGATGTGCAGAACCCTGGCTCCCTGCCCACCCCATCCACCTGTGGCGAGTGCCCAGGACCCCCTTAGGGGGCTGGTCAGGCGCCCCCGGGGCAGCAGACTCGGTCCAAGGTGGAAGTTTCCCAAAACCCTGTGCAGCATAGAGGCAAAGGCAGAGGCAGGAAGGTGGGGCTGGTGGGTGGCCTGGACTGCTGGATACGCTCACAGCAACTCTCCACACCAGCCTGTGTGACTTGGGTCATGTGTACTCAGTCCCCCAACCCTTCTGGGGTTGGGACAGGTGACCTCTCCTTTCCCAGCTTCCCAGCGAGTCACTGTAGGCCGGGATTAGAACCCTTCCTCGTAGGGAGGGAGATTTCTCCCTAGCCCTCCACTGAAGGAACATTCAAGGGTCTGGGGATATACGAGAGATGTTTTATATATATGTGTATATATATATACTTTTGAGTCAGTCTCACTCTTGCCTAGGCTAGAGTGCAGTGGCATGCTAATGGCCCCCACAGCCTCAGCCTGCTGGGCTCAGGCGATCCTTCCACCTCAGTTTTCCAAGTAGCTGGAACTACAGGCACATGCCACCAGGCCCAGCTAATTTTTTGATTTATTGTGGAGACGAGGCCTTGCCCAGTTGCCCAGGCTGGTCTTGAACCCCTGGGCTCAGGCAATCCTCTCACCGCCACCTCTCAAAGTGTTGGGATTACAGGCGTGAGCCACCGCACCCAGCAGATGTTATATCCTAACAGTGAATTCTCAGCATTGAAATAACAGCAGTCGCCAAGACCCTCACAGAACGGGCAGAGCTCCAAGCGTGGCCTCGACAGAATCCTCCTGTCTCCCAACCCATGGGCTTTAAAATTAAGCAGTTATTGTTTTATAAGCAGGAGGGGGCTTTTTAAAAATGTTTGTAAGCTGGGCTCGGTGGCTCAGCCTGTAATCCCGTGCCTTAGGAGGCTGAGGTGAGTGGATTGCCTGAGCCCA